GGGGGGGGGGGGGGGGGGGGGGGGGGGGGGGGGGGGGGGGGGGGGAGAAGGATGGTCCAAACCAAGAACTGATCGGACCAGGCGTGAAGGTCTGTCCAGCAGGCCCGGGCCGGGGGCGTGGCGGGGAGGGGATAGAGGAGGGGGCAGTACTGCCGAGACTGTCACCACGTGGCTGTAATTTGACTCTAGTTCGGCCAAGCTACTGTACACTCCCAACAATGCTGATGGAGACCCTTGACCCCGCTGATAACAATGATCATTTCTGTTGGATTGAAAATTTGGGGATTGGGATTTTTTTTTAAACTCTGCCCATTCTCTGAAAAGACTTATTAAGAAATTTGCAAAGCGGGACTAGTCTAGTCTAGTGGAAATTTTCTGGGACTAATTCACAGAAAAGGTAATTGTGGGTGGCCTGTAATCATCCTTATCTTGTACTCCCATAGAACTCTTTTTGGGGTGGGTAAAGTGTGTGTCTGGGGTGGGGGTCCTAGTACTAGAAGAAGGGTGTTTACTTGGCCAGTGGCAAAAGGATTGCCGAGGTAATTGATCTCTTCCCTTCTGATCTCAGCCTCATCTCTTCACCTCCGAAGAAATATAAAGTAAAATTGGCTGTCTGGAAATGGAAGTGGCCAGTGCCCAAGTCTGATCACATATACAGACTGACACTGTTACCAGTCCTCTGCCGACCACAGAGTGAGCCCTGGATAAACCATGTAAACTGAAATCAGCCCAGGCCCAAAGTGGAGCAGGCGAGGTATTCTGTTACCTAGGACAATGGCCCACCGGTGCCATTCTGGCCTCCACCCAACCTCCTGAGCTATAATCAGGCTGGAGCAGCTGCAGACAGCAATCCAGGTCAACTGCAAAGTGGGAGGCAGAGTCCAAAGGGATGGAGAAAGATGCAGACATCAGCAGACTCTTCCCTTCCACAGAAGCTGCCAGGCCTTCTTAAAGTCACGCCAGGAGATAAGGTCAGGATTAGTTAGGAGTGAGGGTGGCAAAGCTAGAAGATGAGATGAAGGGGTCCTGCTCTCCTCTGTCCTGGTTCCCTGCTCTCAGATCCTCAACATGACGCTGAGACTAGGTCTGCATGAGGTGAAGAGAACCAAGAAATGTGCTCACTTCAGTCAAAAGACTCAACTCAGCCTCCCAGAAAAAGTTTGTCAGAGATTGACTGTGCATACTTGTACTTTCTGTACTTTTTCAGTTAAGGAGGCAACATCACTGACCTTAGCCCCTAAATACTCCTTCTAGGACCCTGGAATTCTAGAAATGTACCTAGATTGCCTTTGTAAGATCAGCCCATCCTGACACCAAGTGATCCCCTCATATTCCTTCCATCCCAGGGTAGAGTAAGGTATATGAGGATGATTGAAGTGGCGGCATTTAGGGTAAATGACAAGCCAAAAGGTAGGATCAAGGTTTCTGTCATCCGAGAAACTGAGAGGGCCCAGACAGCAAAGCGTGGGACGGGGCCAAAAACTTTATCTCTCTACAGAAGGGAAAGTGGAGGGGGTTGGTCAAAAATGCACTCTAGCATGGGCTTTGTGTATCAAGCTAAGGGCACACAGAGGTCCCTCAGACTTAGACCCACTGACCAGTTTGTAATCCCTTGCAGCTAAACTCAGCAATAGTTAGTATAAGCCAAGAGTCTGTTCTCTGAAAAGAGGGTTGCACAGACTCTAGTCTCTATGCCCTACTCTCTGGAGCTACCTCCCATTTGGTCAACCTAACCAAGAACCAGAAAAGCCTCCTTGTAACTGTACACTTCTCTCTTCTTTCTCTCCTTCAATCCACCCTCACTCTGTTTTTCATATGATCTGGAGACAATTTATTTTGGCAAGGAGAATAAGGCCCCTTCTTTTGGACTCCAGGCCTTTTCATTTCTTTGTCTTTCAAACTCCCAACAGGAGTTCTGATTTCAGTCCGTTCCTCTCCTGCCATCTCTGCTCTTTTATTTCTCAGCTGGCATTTCTTACCACTAGCTGCTTTCAGGGCCCCCAGAGAAACAAAAGGTTGGGGAGACCAAAGGGGAGGCACAAACCAGCCAAGCTCCATAAATCGCTTGGAGGTTAAGCCTGGGAGGAAGAGG